TAACTGAGCAACGTTAGTGAGCTAAAACGTACAGAGGAATGCCACAAGCTGCCTCTAATAGAGAAGCGTCACACTGAAGTATGAACAATGGCGCTTCTAAAGGGTGGCCAGGGGTGGCCATGGTCACCCCTAGAAAATTGCAGGCCTCCCCAGGAAAAGTCGGTGTTAATTAATCATATCAATGTTCACTCAAACCATAAATGTATCTTATTTATTCAAGATATAAATGTACAATGCAATAAAAATAATACACTTAATTAATAAAGAAATATGTTTATTTTTATGTTCATGTATTTAGCAGATGCTTTTGTCCAAAGCGACTTACAAGTGATAATCGGCATATTGCCCTTGAGGCTACCAACAACAATAACAACTATAATCTGAGTAAATAAAACCTCCTGAAATAATCTGGATAAAATAAAAATACGCATGTTCTGCTGCTCACCATTAAAAAAAGGTTGTATCTCCATAGTTTTGTGTGAACACAGCAACAGGTGAATTAAAATAAAAAATATATTTTAAAATAAAATTTGAAATAACATTTTAAAGAACTGAAATGTATTTTTCTGAAATGTTTCTGTTTGTAAATTTTGAGTTAAATGTTTTGGATACATATAGTTTATTTATTTATTTTGTTACTTTTTAATAAAAATGGATAAAGCTGCAATGCAATGCATCACCACAGTTTAAACTCTCCCAGAGTTACCACAAGAACTAATTTGGTGTGCCACCCCAAAATTTTATTTGGCCCCGTCTGGCCACCTTTATCAAAAATTTCTGCAGGCGCTCCTGAGTATGAAGACAGTCCTGTGGGAAAAGCAAGGCTAAAATAGTGTTTTGAGGGCAGACTTAAACCTACAGAGGGAAGGTGCCTGACACACATGGAGGGGCAGAGAGTTCCAGAGTTTGGGGGCAGTGGGTGAGAAGGCATGGTCACCCCAAGATTTATAGCGAACCTTCGGAACAATCATCACCAGCTGATCAGCTGAACAAAGGGCATGAGTGGGTGTGCAGAAATGCAACAATTTCAAACTTTGTCCTCAGAACGGGATGCAACCAGGGACAGCGCTCAGCTCTGCTTGATGGAAACTGACTGAGTAGCCTTGGAGACCATGGAAGGACACTAGGCAACAGGCTCTAGCCTGTACCAAAACAAATTCCAGTTATCTCAATTTGGCTCCCCCATGTCGGCCTTGAATTAATTAGAGATTTACTAAGACAAAGACAATCAAGTTTATATCTTATTACGTAAAAAGAATATTTATTAAGAAATCACAGTGTAGCCATAGAATTGCTACTTGGTACATATGTTGTGTGTGGGGGTGTGTATGTGTGAGTGTGGGTGTGTGTGTGTGGGGGGGGGGGGTGGGGGTGGGGGGTGGGGGGGGGGTGTTCGTGTGTCTGCTCTGTCTTCTCGATCCAGTGAGTCGTGGTGGATGGCTGCTTATACTGAGCCAGGATACTCTGGAGGTTTCCTTCTTTTAAAAGGGAGTTTTCCTCTCCACTTTCGCTACATGCTTGCTTAGTATGAGGATTGCTGTAAAGACTCTGACACTAGTCAGTGACTAGAAGCAACCTGCTGGGTTCCTTATATAGGAAACATTTTACTGATTGGCTTAATAAACGGAACTGTATTGGAAAGTTTACTGAGTGACGCGCCTTGAGACGACGCTTGCCGTGATTTGGTGCTATATAAATAAACTGAATATGGCTGAAAACCGCAAAAGTCCCCTGGAGGATGTTTTGCAGACAGATGCTGTAAGTGGCAGCAAACGATCAGTCTGTGAGACTTGATCCCTTCAACTTCACGACCCTGACTCGCAGCACAGGTGCACCCCAGGGCTACGTGCACTACGAGAGGCTGATTTCGTCCACATTCGTAGATGGACCTATTTTCCTTCCTATGGCTCCACCTCTTATGGTGCCAGAGGTCTTTATCTGTAAATGTGTCTGATGCACTGATGGGTTTTTGCAGTACACTTTAACATACCAGAGAGGGTCTGAATTTCTCCCTTCCCAGGTTCCAAGCAGATAAAAATATCAGAGCAGAAAATTATTTTCATTGCAAGACAAGGAGCTCAGTGGAGAAGTTTAAGTATCTCGGGGTCTTGTTCACAAGTGAGGGAAAGATGGAGCGTGAGATCGACAGGCGTATTGGTGCAGCGTCTGCAGTGATGCGGGCATTGTACTGGTCTGTCGTGGTGACAAGAGAGCTGAGCCGGAAGGCAAAGCTCTCAATTTACCGGTTGGTCTACGTTCCTACCCTCACTTATGGTCACGAGCTTTGGGTAGTGAGTGACCGAAAGAATGAGATTGTGGATACAAGCGGCCGAAAGTAGTTTTCTCCGCAGGGTGGCTATGCTCTCCCTTAGGGATAGGGTGAGAAGCTCGGTCATCCGGGAGGAGCTGGGAGTAGACCCGCTGCTCCTCCACACCGAGAGGAACCAGTTGTAGTGATCAGGCACCTAGTTAGGATGCCTCCCTGGTGAGGTTTTCTGAGCATGTCCAAGCTGGAAAAAGCCTAAAGGAAGACCCAGGACACACTGGAGAGACTATGTCTCACGGCTGGCCAGGGAATGCCTTAGGATTCCCCTGGAGGAGCTGGCCTAAGTGGCTGGGGATAGAGAAGTCTGAGCCTCCCTGCTTAGGCTACTGCCCCTGCGACCCGAGCCTGGATAAGCAGCCAAAAATGGATGGATGGATAAGGAGCTCACGGCCTGTTGCATTCCTTGGAGTACACCTCTGGCATTTCATCTCTATGGATCCTATGGTGACTAATCAGAAATCAGAATCAGAAATCAGAATCAGAATCAGGATCAGAAAAGGTTTATTGCCATTGTCAGTGAACAAGCAGTTCACAAACTAGGAACTTGTTTCGGTACTAATGTGCTACATATAACATGAATAATAAATTTCAAAAATAGAATAAGTAGAATAAAATATAATAAAACTAGCATAAAACATTCAGCTATAAAAAAGGCAGGTAATGGTAATATGGCCAATAACGTGACGTTATGTCAAGTACAGCAGACGAACATGGTTGTGTATTCATAAGCTGTTCACAAGTCTAACGGCAGATGGAAAGAAGCTGTTCTTATGGCGGGAGGTTCTGGTCTGGATGGACCGTAACCTCCTGCCTGAGGGAAGCGGCTCGAAAAGTCTGTGTCCCGGGTGAGAAGGGTCAGCTGCTATCCGGCCTGCACGCCCCCGAGTTCTGGAGACGTACAGGTCCTGGAGAGATGGAAGGCTGCAGCCAATCACCTTCTCAGCAGAGCGCACAATGCGCTGCAGTCTATTTTTGTCCCTCACTGTGGCTCCACCGTACCACACAGTGATGGAGGAGGTGAGGATGGACTCATTGATGGCCGTGTAAAACTGCACCATCATCTGGGCCGTCAGCTTGGCCTTTTTCAACTGCCGCAGAAAGTACATCCTCTGCTGGGCCTTTTTGAGCAGGGAGCTGATGGATGGCTCCCACCTAAGGTCATGTGTGATGGTGGTTCAGAGGAAGCGGAAGGAGTCCACAGTGGTGACGGGGGTGTCCGTCAGGACGAGGGGGAGAGATGGGGCTGTGACTTTCCTGAAGTCCACAATCATCTCCACTGTCTTCTGAGCATTGAGCTCCAGATTGTTGCAACTGCACCAGTACACCAGCCGTTCCACCTCCCTCCTGTAGGCGGACTCATCACCGTCAGAGATGAGCCCGATGAGTGTGGTGTCGTCCGCAAACTTGATCAGTTTAACGGAGTCATGGCTCGAGGTGCAGCAGTTTGTGTACAGGGAGAAGAGCAGAGGAGACAGTACACAGCCCTGTGGAGATCCTGTGCTAATTGTCTGAATGGTGGAAACATTCTTCCCCAGCCGCACGCACTGCCTTCGGTCCGTCAGGAAGTCAGTGATCCACCTGCAGGTTGAATTGGGTACGTTGAGCATGATGAGATTTATTGCTAACGGGCATTGTTACAGCAAATAAATTCTTGATTTTTTCTGCCAATTTTAGATAAAAACCAGTTAGTAGTGTGTTCGTAATTTTAAGTGAAATTGTGGTCTCAGTTAGGGTTGCAATATCTGACGAGTGACACTTGGTAACTGTTTAGAGTCCTTTGTTTGCTGCATTTGAAACACCCCGTCTGAATCAACTCATTTTTCTCTGCTTCCAGGTATAAATACTCTGTTGTGTTGATTACATTACATTAAAGGGGGTGCTCCCACAGCCTGCAGTGGTAACTGCTTGTAACACATGGTGAGAATGCTGCCATGTGGAGCATGCATGGTGTGGGTGTAATATAAATATTTGGCGCAAATTAAAATAAAATGCCCCAGAAATATATCAGATCTCTGTGATAAATAGCTCCAGGTGCACAGACATAGCATGAAATAAACCATGAAATCCTCAAATAGATGCTGGACTTCCTTTTCTTGTCTTGTTCAGTTGCCTCTTTATTCAAGCACCGAGGATTATCCTGTCCTTGATGAAATACAAACATGTGAGGCTATCAAACACCTTACCAGCCTGGGCTACTTTCAAAAATCGCAACTATACAGGTTACTTCCTATATTTAGTTTTATTACGATTTTCTATGACAACAGAAGTTGTAAAGGAAGCAAACTGCGAACAAATATTACAGGTTTCAGACATGGAAATGTTAACCATCTTTGTAATGTCTGTATAATTAGCTTGTTTTGGTGAAGACTGAAACATTGATTCCTAACAAGAATGATATTAGTAGTGCGGCTCACTTAGTGAAGAGAACGTTGCTTGGATTTTTAGGTGCTTTCCAACACGCCCATTGCACAAGTCTCTGTTTGCTTCTTTCTCCATGTGGCCTTACTAACTAGTTTAATCTCAAGAATAGAAAATCAGTAACCCTGATTTATGTTGTTTTCAGTAATAACATCAAATTTGCAATGATTATTGTTTTACCACATATTAGTTTAGCTGTTGGCCTGTTCTTTAAAAAACGGGAGGGCGACATCTAGTGGAAATTAAGTCAAAAACATGGCCTAGCAACAAAACGCTTTATTGTAAAAATAGATTTCATTAGATCACAATGAACATTTGCATTAGAGAAGCAGAAAAAGAGCCATCGTGCAGCTAACTGCAAGTTTTTAGATTTAAAATACATAAAAAAGTCTTATGAAGCACACTTTGATCCACTGGACTCCAAACATTCTGCACACACTAATATGACTACATGTGGAGAGCAGAAGAATAAAAAATAATAATGTAGTTTGTAATAAGTGTTTTACTCAAGTACAAAAACAAAATACACAACAACAAAGTACCCAATAAATCCACACGCATACCAGCGATCGATAACTAAAAAAACTACCCAAAGACTAAAACTATTTAGACCCAACCCGATCATGTTTACTTGTCAAAAGGTAAACATGTAAACAGGAAGGTATTAATCAGATCTACAATCATAACTCTGTACACTTTAAGGCACTTGTGGCAGCCACAAATTGTATACATGGAAAAAAACAAAACTTAAGTAAAAAAAAAAATACTTTAAAAAGTTTACAATAACATTCAACATAGATTTGAGTTCAGCATGAAATGCATTAAACAAGAATTAGTAGGGAGTGATTTAATATGTACAGTATTAAAATCTTTTTTTTTTAAGTTTAAAACGATAAAAGCTGCATCTAACTTTGCGTCCGTCTTCACACGACCAGACTCTCCCGACTCACGGCTCCATTCTGCAAGACGAGAACAAACGTGTCAGATTAACAAAGAAATGAAACAAAAGGTGGAAATTATTAGTGAACATTTAAGACTTTCTCAAACTCAGCATGACAATTTCTCTCTCTCCTCATTAAATATGCAGCAGGAATCTTTATAAATGTCTAAAAATAGAAATAAACTTCTGAAAAATGCCGCAGTTCATCAATATTAGGAACGTGTGTCCAAGACGCCGTTAACACCCCAGCACGAGCTCGGGTTTAGAAACTTACCTTGCGGAGGTTGCTCTTCTTTGACGATGACACGCTCTCGTTGTCGCTATACGGAGGAGGTTGAGAGGGTGGCTGCATGGGAAGAGGTGGAGGCCCACGCGGCCCCCTCCCCCAGTCGGACCGCTCACTCTCGCTATCGAGTCGCTCTCGGCTGCGCGACCTCTGCTGCTCGCCCAGCTTCTTCCTCTCCAAGGCTTCTCGCAGGAAGCTGTCATCGTATTCCTCCCGGCCGCCCCTCGCGCCGCCGCCGTAACGACGGTCCCTCTCCAGGTCCATGATGTCATCGCGACTGTGGCTGCGTTTCCCCGCAAGGCCACCCGTCTCCCTGTCTCTTCTTCCTCGATCCTCGGGGGAGTAGTCGCGGCGCCTGCGGTCATCGTAGGGACGATCGTACCCGCTGCGAGCGCTGCTGCTCCACTCGTCATCCGAACTACAAGGGCACAGAGAAGAACAATGAACTCGACCATCAAACCAAAAACAATGTGCAAAACCAAAACAGTTCAATAAATAAAATACACTGAAAGATTTTATGTATTCATGTCTATATTTAAGTCTTTTGTGTTTGAAATGAAATCTTACATTAAAGAGGAACAAAGCTACTACTGTATGTTAGCATGCACCCACTCCTCCACGTTAGCACACTTAAACTCAAAACTACAACATGAAGACGTCATTTACACCAACAGGGTTTTCGCTATGTGGCGCGCCCTCAGCTCAAAACAATCCCCCGAGAATCCACATAAATAACGTAATATAAGTAGAACCAGGATCTTTTTCGGGCTCCCTCTGGGTGTGTAAGCTGAGGGCTTCCAGGGGAGCCTGTCACCCTTTCGGGTGAGCCCTTTAACTCACCCGTAATTTGAACCCTACGTATTACGAGTTGGTCGCGAGTTGCCGCAACCTATAGCAGACAGTTACCAGAACGGTCCTTTCAAAATAAGACAGGTCCCGGATCTCGTTCCAGCAAGAATCGGCTCAAATTAACCACCTGGTGATACGTGTAATATTCCCAGCGTTCAAATTGGTGATTGAAACAAATCTAACATGTTTATGTTTATTCACTTAGCAGACGCTTTTATCCAAAGCGACTTACAGTTTCTAACATGTCACTAATATATTAGACGAATACACAGGCTGAAGTGGAGGAGGTGAGTGAAGGAGAAGAGTGGAGAGGCAGCGCAAGGAGCAGCATGCATAAGTGAACATGATGAGGGAGACAGCAGCAGGGAAGCAGTGAGAGGGAAGAAAAAAAGTAGACACAGAATCTGGCTGGGACCCAAAATAGAGAGAAATCCCTACGTTCGGCCCATGGCTGTACCACAACAATCAAGGTAGGAATCAAGCATTACAATTTATTTCAAGTGAAATATACATTTCTTATTTATTGTAATTAAACAGTAAGCCATTTTACTCACTCCTACAGGAATGTTCACCAAAACACACAGTCTCATGTCTCCGTACGTCGCTGCCTGCGCCCCACCCCTGACCGACAGCCCACCACCACGGTTTCAAAAAATGTTAGAAGCGACCCTGGCTGATGCTTATAACTGAAAGTGTTTCTACAGCGAGAACGTGAAACAGCCTGAAACCAACCTGCATTTCTTAATAAAGTCAAGTTTTATTTATACATGGCTTTTCCACGGGAACACCTGTTGACCCAAAGCGTCAGTAACTAATAAAAATGCCTGTTGCTCCAGCATTTTCCATCACCCAACGAATCATGACTCACTCTTTCCTCCCTCTGGGTTCATCTGGCCGTCTGTGGGGAGGATGGTCATCTCTGGGCCGCCGCCCAATATCATCAAGGTTATCCATGGAGCGAGCACGTACGCGGTCCCCCATGTAACCCCCACCTCGGCGTCCGTAGTCATCCCGGTGTCGGCCTTGCTGAGAAACGCTGCTGATGGTGCTCATGGCCTCTTCTCGGTCGTAAACTGTGGCTAGAGGTGGCGGCTGGGAGCGACCCCCGCGACCTCGAGGCTTCATGCTGTCATGCAGCGAGGTGACTTCACTCGCATTGTCCACTGGGAACAAAACGTAGAAGGAATTAAATAAAAACATATTGTGTCTGGTTTAGGAATAAGGAAATTCAATTCAATTTTACTACAACCCTAAATAATAAATATTTATGTGTACTTTTACCACACATCCTGAGCTCCTTCAAAGGAATCTCCTACCATCTATACGCAGATGACATCCAACTGTACATCTCCTTTAAGCCCCATGAGATGTCTAAGCTGCAGCTGTTACACACCTGCTTAGACTCTATCAAAGCCTGGATGGCTGGGAACTTTCTTCCGCTGAATGAAGATAAGACGTAGATCCTCATCTGTGCCCCAGACAAGCTGGTTCTCAAAGTCAGAGACTCTCTTGGTCAGCTTGCTTCCCACACCAAATCTTCCGTCAGGAATCTTGGCGTGACCTTTGACCCAGCTCTCACCCTGGATTCTCATGTCAGTTCTCTTGTTCGCTCTTCCTTCTTCCATCTCAGGAACATTGCTAAGCTGAGTCCCATTCTGTCCCGCTCTGAACTTGGGACAGTTATCCACACCTTCATCTCCTCACGCTTAGACTACTGTAACTCTCTTTTCACGTGTCTGAGCAGAACCTCCCTGAACCGTCTACAGGTGGTTCAGATCGCCTGTGCTCGGCTTCTGACCAAGTCCTCCAAATGTACCCACATCACCCCGCTTCTCCTCCAGCTTCACTGGCTGCCAGTCAACTTCAGGGTTCATTTCAAGATCCTGGTTCTGGTCTATAGGGCCTTACATGGACAAGCACCATCTTACATTGGTGATCTTCTTAGTCCCTACACCCCCAGCAGGTCCCTGAGGTCCAGTGATCAAAGCCTACTGGTTGTGCAGCACCAGGCTAAAGACCAAAGGTGACAGATCATTTGCTGCTGTGGCCCTCAGACTCTGGAACTCTCTCCCCCTGAGCCTGAGATCAGTGGACCCAGTGGTCTCCTTCAAAAAGCAGCTGAAGACTCACTTGTTCAAGCTGGCTTTTGTATGACCTTCTTCACCACTCTCTCTTTATTCTGCTCTCCCCACCTATTCCACCTTCCTCAGGATCCACTGATTTCCCTCTTTCCTATTCACTCTCTCTCTTTCTTAACATTTTTTCTTTTAAATCGCAATTGCCTATTTTTGCTCATTTTAAATATATTTTAAACATTTTCGAAATGTTTTTTTTATATTTTTACAATTTTTATATTTTTTGTTTTTGTGAAGCGCCTCGTGATTTTTATCTTGAGAGGCGCTATAGAAATGACATTTTCTTCTTCTTCTTTCTACTATTTACAGATCTGATGCTAAAACTATATTTAACTTGTGTATGAGAAAATTAACGGTTTGTACATTTTTTTTTGCTTAAATGAGTTAATTTTAATGTGTTACAGGTTATGTACATGTTAGATTTTATCATTTTATTCCATTTAGTGCCGGTTATGTTTTCATTCCTCAATCTGCAGATTTTTAGAGTTTCATGACACTAAACTAACGGCTACAATAACACTTTCTTCAAACTCGTCAGGATATTTGCATTTCTTTAAAGACACCACACACTTGTTATGATTAAGTGACTCTTGACGGGAGCTGGTTTCTGTTTGGCTACAGTGGTTATATGAGTCATACAGGAAGTGAGCCACTCACAGCGGTTGTAGTTGGTGGGTCTGGAGGGGTCCAACGAAGCCAGTTCCTTCTCCAGGTAGTAAATAGCACGAGTGGCATTTCCCTGTGGGTCCACCTGAATACGATAACCACTGCGAGCTGTGGAGAAGGTAAGGCATGCAAAACATCTTTATACAAAAACTAAACAAGGCTGAAGAGTCTTGAAAGAAACACAGAGGAGTCCAAAGATGGCTGTTGTGTATTTTTTAAATACTCTTTACCCCGCGACTAAAAATGAGATGCGTTCAATTGATTTCTGAGAGTTTAAAGACTTGATAAATATTCTGGTCCCCAGAGGTTTTAGTAGGTATCTTGGTATCCTACTGAAGGTGGACTGCTGATGCTGCAATAGCTTCCACACTGAAAGCAACGGAGGCCTTTTAACCACTAAAACTACTAAAAAATTGCTATAACAATGATTAAAAAAAAAAAAACTCAAACAATATTGCAAAGTTTCTTTAGCAAGATAAGAAAGCCCCCGCCTATGCAAAGACCACAACTAAGGCGTGTGTTAGTTTCTCTTTACTCACTGGGATCTCCTCCAATATTTTGCTCTCGGAGCAGCGGTGCCTGTGATCCATGCCCCACTGCAAACAAAAGCAAAGACACTCAACTCCAGAATGTCACAACTTTACACCCAACCAGGCGTGCAGATTTAGACTGACTCCGATTCCTCCCCCCCCCCCCCCCCCCCACACACACACACACACACTTTTAAGGCAAGAAAAAAAACAAAATCGGAGGTTAAGCGCTTGAAATTCCTTTTTCCAATTACATTGAATGCAGCATGATGTAAACAAACACCGACTCCAGAGGCGCAAAAGTGGTTGCTGCTAGAACGCAGGATGAAGCGGGAAAAGGCAAGCAACAATTACTGCGTTTTTAAAAAAGACCATCAGTGTAAGTAGGCTGGACCGATCTGTCGGTTTATGCATGTTGGTTCCAGTTTCAGTACGTTGTTGTCAGTGTTGGGACTTACTCGTTATAAGCGCCAACGTTTCAGTATTGCGACAAGCTTCATTGCTGACTTTAACAAATCTACAAATATGATCACTCATGAAGTTACCACTTTACACCAGAAGATAATGGAGATGCGTAACCTTCAGGCTGAGCAAAGTTTCGACGTTTTTAGAGCTTGAAAAACGCCTCCCGCCGAAAGGCTCGCAGTCGGGGAGAGGTGGAGACGCGCAACAGGAAGGGCAAATATTAGCGGGATAAAACCTATAACTGCCGGCAGGTAGAGCTGCACGACTTAATTTTTTTTTAAAGTCGACTGTCAAGTAATGAAAATCAAGTCGACTTTGACTAGTCGTTGATGACGTCATACACCTGAAGCTGGGCAGGGGTGGGGGGGTCTTCGCTGGAGTTTTTGACAGTTAAAATTGCGCCCACATTTTCAAAGTTAAACACATCTCTTAACAGCGGTAGTTTCTGCATCTATACTGCTCCACTTCAGCTCTCTCCCCCCTCCCCATGCGCAGTGCGCCTGCAGCCGCTCAGAGTTCCTGCTGCTCTAAACATTAAAATAATTATTTCATTTTCTGTTCCTCACTTCTGATTACCTTCAATGGTGTCTGTTTGTTGCAACCAGCAGGTACAAAAACTAGCTTGTTTTTATTTGACTATTTTTCTGTCCTGTGTCTGTTTATTATCTTCCTGCATCTCCTCTCAATCCTAAAGAAAAACTGCTACCTGGGTTCATATATGTTCACCTTATGAGTTACCTTTGAACTGCAGTTCTAAAAGATCTACCGACCGCAAAAACAGCGGAGTGCGCTTTGCTCGCAGGCCGCATCAGTGAGGTGAAGTTATTGGAGGACAAAACAGGTGATGCGCCCCGATCCACAGCAGCGAAACGCATCAGGCACAAATAAAAGACAGGAAACATCAAAGGAAATGAGCCGACATGAACGATCTCGTGTTAAATTTGTTTTTGAGGTGGCGACACCTAATTTCATGTTACTGTGGCCATGCTCAGGACGCAGATGTCTGGAGCTTGTCAACGATCAGAGCTTTGCATGTGCACGCTGGTTAAGGTTAGGATGGGGGTGAGGGGAAGGTTAAATTGCAAGAGGGAAAAGGTCACAATTTGGTTAAATGTCAGTTTTACAGCGAGCGTCAGATACCAACGCTCTGGCACAGCGCATCGCCCCCCGATGCGCAGGAGCTCGTCACCTGCTGTCTTTTCCGAGGACTGCATCTTGTCGCTCATTATCATGTGACAGCGACTAGTCGCTGAAAGGCATAAAAAGTCACTACAGAGCAGTGAAGTCGACTAGTCGACTAGTTCATACAACCCCTACCGGCAAGTCTGGTCTTTGTTGACTGATCACTTTGTTGATGACATCATAATACGCAAATTGAATTTGCTCCCAACACAAACTTTGGGTCCTACTGAAGACTTTTCTCTTCTATAGTTTAGCTTTATCTCCAAACATATCCAAATTTTATATTTTCTTGTAGAAACTCTGGCGCCCAAAGGGCTGGACAGTTTGAACAGACGTGAAACTGCCCTGTATTATGTAGAGGGGACTGGAAGAAGGAGAGAGGTTTTTGAGTCCTTCACTAGATCTTTTTTTGGACAGTTCATTTGTTTGCCTGAGTGAATTTAAAACTGTCTTGTAGACTACATGTTTTTATACTTTTATATATATATATATATATATATATATATATATATATATATATATATATATATATATATATAAATAGTTAATGGGTATGCAAGGCACTCTAACTTAGTAGTTCTCAAAGTTGGGGATGGGACCCCACTTGGGGTCACAAACATGTAGGTGTGGGGTCTTGAAATCCTCGAGAAAAAATATGTAAATATCAGAAATGTAAATATCTCTAATGGCAATTAGAAAGCAACTAATTTTTATAAATCAAAGAAAACTGATAAAAGCAAATATATTGGTTATTGATGTTGATTGTGCCACTTTTTCAACTAACTCAGAAACCAAGAGTCGGGGTGATAGGCCTCAAAAATTTAAATTTTGTTGGTCAGAGACTGAAAAGTTTGGGAACCACTGCTCTAAGGGATAAGTGAATATCGTTTTTTTATTATATTTCATGTGCAGATTTTTACATAGAGCTTTTTATGTTTTCAGTAAAGTTTGGTATGCTGAAAATCAGTGAATGTTTAAATAAAACATATTAAGCATAAAGCATGAGGTTTTGGTTAGTGATTGATTGGGAGAATAACAAATGACTGACTTGGATAGTGTTGATCAGGCAGAGCTTTGTTGACAGCGCTCCATTGAATAATGGCTTCAAACACGTAAATAATAGTGTTAGTTTTTTTGTAAACCATTGGATGAAATTACACAAACTGGCTGAGCTCTAGTTAAGGCTCTTGCAATTGCTTGTGTATGTGAATGTGCGTGCGTGTGTGTGTTTGGGGAGGGTACATTGGAACTTTGACCCCCCAGTTTGAAAATCCTATCTGCGCCCTTGCACCCAACTGTCCTCGAAACTAACATTTAAGGTGTCTTCACAAATGTGTTTGTTTACTAAAAGTTTGTTTGCTTAGTAATTAGTAGCTTTTATTTTTTCTCCACTGACAAACAGACTGTGTCACTACAAACCTAATCAGAACATTGAAGACGTAGTCATCTGTACAAATATTAATGATGTTGTGCCTCTTAAGTGTTACTCTGTGTGAGGCCTTGGTTTTCTTTCTGGCTAGCTAGTGGCTACTGACGATTCTGTACTCACAAGGTGTTTGGCTAACCCTGAGGTCAGGTAACGTTCAAACTAAACGCATTACTTTATTTGGAATCCTGGTTTTGGTGCACATCCTATAGTGAGTAAATAATTCACTTCTGCACAAAACAAACGGCACCGAAGGGGAACATGAACACTCATCAATAACCGACCTTGGAGGAAACCAGAGCATCTGCTTGGGGAGAACATGCAAAGGTTGCAGCTGGGATTTCAGCCTGCAACCTTTTTGCTGTGAGACAACACTGCTACCAACTGTACCACCATGCAGGTGGCAATTTAAGCTACTTTTACCTGCAATCACTCTAAATGAAAACGACCTTATGTTTCTAACAATAAACAGTGATCATCTTCCAGTGAGCAGCACCTACCTGAGCTGGCACCATCATAATCATGACCATAACCATTCTGGGGATGTCCACTGGCTATGGGAAGCAGGGGCATGGCAGTCTGGTTACCCTGTGAGCCGCCGTATATTGGCTGACCATACATACTGGGCGCATAGAGGGTGGGAGCGTACTGAGTGGGCAAACCTTTCTTCACCGCTTTCCCAGCTTCGTACACTGTAAACAGAATTTAGAAAAATAAAGAAAGCCTATTAAACATTTGGCATTTAACATTTAGCCTATAAAGAGCAAATGACACTTTGCAGGTACTCTAAATGTCTCAGGAGGCCTGAAAATGGTCAAATACAATCCCATAAAAAAAGCCACGGCATGAAAAGTGTCGTTTTCTCCCACCCAGCCAGGACAGGAATAATTAATGTGCTGCATGATGATGTGTGTTTTTGCGCGTGTGTGTGTTGTCCTAGGGTTGGGCATCGAGCATCGATTGGAACCGGTTCCAACTGTTAGTTTTTCCCGGAATCGTTCAAAGTTTTTTTTGATTCCCAGTTTCGATTCCTAGAATGCCGACAGAAGAGGAATCCGCGGCCGATCTCTGTGAAAAATAAACATGATCTGCAAATTGTGATCAACACTTTTCAGAGCACCGAGTCCCCCTCCCCCCCACCCAGAAATAAACAAACGCATCTGCCGAACTTTACTCTGTAATTTAAACTTTAATTCCTGCAGCGTAAAGGAAACTTGTTAAAATACGTCAACATGGTGGATTTTATAGAAGCTTTAAAGAACAAACTCTGGACGGTGTGAGGTGAGTTTGTCTCACTGCAGAAATAAAAGCACACACAGAGCATCAGCAGTCAGACGCAGCCGCTCACCAACACTCGTGTGTGTGTGTGTGAGAGCGTCAGAAGGCTGAACAATAACCTGTAGAATAATTAAAGTCATCATGCTAGAGCAGCTTCTCTGTGGTGGACCACACCAGCTTCTGCCACTATAAATAATTATAATAATAATAAATAACATTTTATTTCCTTTTTGAACAATTTCTGTTGAGAATTTTAATGTTTAAAATCTGTTAGATTGTTACTGACCCCAGCTACGTTTAAGTTTCACATTCTGTTCTGACTGAATGGCTGCTGCAGGTAGGAAAACAGCAGGACGTTTCTGGATGTGTTGGAGACATTTAGCCTCTCATCCCAGAGGCTGCTTCCAGACTTTGGTTGTGGTCAGAAACAAACACACTGGTTGTGCTGCAAGTCTTTTTCTTTTTTTTCTCCAAAACACGTTTTTGTCTAAATGAAGTTGATGCCATTGTTCACAGAAGTAAAATTCATGTTGAAGTTAAGATTATTTCATCAAGTAGGACCTGTGGTTAGCTAGCTCATGTAAAGCATGTCATGTCTTGAAAGAATTGGAATCGGGAATCGATAGGAACCGGAATCGAAACGAGGAATTGGAATCAGAATCGTTCAAAATCAAACGATGCCCGACACTATTTATTACCTTTTGTCCAACAAGAATGTTAGCAACTCAGGTTAGCATTAGCAGTAGCTTGCCCTAGCATATTGCTGACACAGAAGTGAATTGGAAAAAGCAGATTTAAGCTTACTACATTTTAAAACCAACTTTTCTCTGAGTGAACCGTCTCTCCCTCATTTTTTCAGATGACTAATTTGCACAGAAAGCAGCTCAGACACAGCTGACTTTGGCGTGCTACATTTAGCAAGAAGTTTTTATTTTTGTGTGTCTGCAGAAAAAACAAACTTTTCATCTTTGTAAGCTTTTCTCTTTCGTACTTACAAGCTCGTGGGCAGCAGCAACGTTCAGGACAGCAGGGACAACTGACATAGCAGCAGCAGGTGTGTGGACAACACTGGCACCAGCAGATCCCGATCAGAAGAAGCAGCAAAAAGAAACCTAAAACCACCAGAACCACCAGGAGCCAGTCTGTGTGGAACAACAGTTGTACATTTATTACATTTACGTTAAAGGTTTATGGGCTCGACACACGGGAGGCGACATTGCCTCTCCCCCATTCATTTTCAGTGAGACATGCGCGACAAAGCGATAATCGCGGGTCTCCCTCCCACCAAGCGAAACGCGAAAAACGTGCGTGTGAAATTTTGCGCTCGTGCACGTGTCGTGCACAGGCGACCCAGCGACGCGATCCCAGAAAGTTGAAACATTTTCAACTTTTCATCGCTGTCGCTCGGACGAGGACCAATCAACGGAGGTTTCATTCACTGACCAATGAGCGGACAGGATGCTCCGTACACCTCAGAGCAAACATGAAGGAGAAGTTGATTATTATTATGTTTTATATAGTAAAATCAGAAGTAAGATTTCACATAACTCTAACAGCACCTTGTGAAACATCATATCTACCGCTTTATTAACGCTGAACTGCTTAAATAACCTTAATTCCCTCCAACCTGACACAGCCAAGCAAAACAACGGAAGTTTCGATTTCGCCATGGAACAGAACGCGTAGACGGCTTTGCCGCTGGCCACTGCCGCAGTTCGCCTCCCGTGTGTCAGGTAATAAAAGCGACAGCGACAAATTTCGTTGATCGCGGTCGTTTGTCGCCTCCCGTGTGTCGAGCCCATTAGAGTTTGCCACCATTGCAGGAAAACAACTATTACTTATTAACCCACAAGTACAGGTTGAGTTGTCTATTACAGGCTTGTTTGTGCATTACATCAATAAGCATTAAAAAGAAGATTCACTGTAGTGCAAAAAGGAAGTTCTCAGGTTTGATTTAATTAATTATACCATTTACAATTAAAATCAAAAGGATAGATGTTTGTGTCACAAGTAAAAAAATAATAAACAAAACATGTTAGCCTCACTGTTGTGATTATTTCTGAAGTTTAGTCAAACTGGAAAACCCAGTTTTCCCAACAGGTCAGTTCAGGGAGTTTGTGTTCCATACATGTACGTTCAGAACAATCAACTGTAGCTGAATTTTCTTTGTTTTTCAGCACTAAACTTACTTAAACTATGATAAGAAAAGACAAATAGAAAAGCAGGAAAAGGAAGTAGAAAAGTGGAACAACAGAGGACGGATGTGTCACGGTTTAGTTTTGGTTTCGATACCACACGGGTCGCTGAAGCTCACATTTTGCTTTCAACGGAATCATAACTGATGTAACACGTTTCTGTGTAATTTGAGACTAAACTGGCTTTATAATTCCACGTGAAATAAGATCAAACAGCTCAGCAGAATATCTCAGGAAGAAAGAATGTTTCTAAATGGAAAATTCAAGCCTCTAAGACGGCCTGACTGAGAACCTCCCTCATCATGACCGTGGGACTAACACATGTCTAAACTACAACAAGGGGCCAGTTATACCTTCCATAACCAGAAAGTCAATGCCAGGGAGGAGGTCAGTAGAATTTGCCTTTCTCTCTGTGAAAGAAAGATAAAGCCACGATTACTTTTAGGTGGTATCTTTCCAACTTTCCAGGCTTCAATCTATGACTCTAGCTGTGGCAATAATCCTCTCTTTGGTGGTGGGTCAATTACTTAAGAGTCATTTTTCCCAACATATTTGAATGTGTCAAAGAAGAGGGAGAAGTTGTGACAGAAATGGGGAGATGGAGACATGAAACAAGAGGAAATATTCAGAGAAAAGGTTATTTTTGAATAATAATAAAAAAAAAAACACTCACCAAGAACAATTACTTCAGTGTAATCTTCACCGTTTCCAGAAAGGTCTTGAGATGAGACCACAGAGCAGACATACACACCACTGTCTCCCCACGCAGTCTGCACAATGTTCAGGTTTGCATCTGTAAGCAGCAATTTTTTATCATTTACTATTAATGATTATAAATATTTCACCAACCTGGTGGAAATATGTTCCCACAGGCATTTTCTCTAAATAAATCTGCTGCCATCTTATTAGATTTAAAAACTACAATTTTCTTTAAAAGCAATAAATTATGTTTATTACACATGAAGTTTAGTTTAACTCTGATCTATTCCAGTTCAAAGGTCAGCACTGCATCAACCTGGTAGCCCTTTGTATGGCTCAGTATCCATGAAGTAGATGACCCTGGTGTTAAAAGTATATACAGGGATGTGATTGGGTTAAGTGAAAAAAAAACTGAAAACGGCAGGGTGGGGGCCACCTTAGGTCCCCACTGGAGTCAAGGGGAAATACCCCTGTGCGGAGCTTTTTCACCAATTTAAGTGTGTTTCTTGGCTCTCTGAGGCATGTTTTTTTTTTTATTGTCCTAAATATTTACTCACTGCAAGCAGCCATTTGCTGTCAATATCTCCATTCACGCATGTGCAGCGTGAACTACCTTCTGGTTTCCTCTATAGGCACCACCATTTTAAACGCCATCATGCAAGTGACTAGCTTCTATGATTTTGTTTTCTGGCAAATGGTCATATTGTTTTGAATAAATCGTGGACAGGGGGTGGAAATACCATTTAATTTTTTTGGGGGGGACAGTAAACGGTAAAATTTCAGAGAGTAAAGCTAACCGGAGCGTGGGGCTAACGTCACCACCCGGTGGAACACTAGCGACATGGAGGTAGGTGGGTTGGTTCACCGGGACGTGTCGGAGTCAGCCCGGTTATTATCAGCTGCTTAATGACACCGAGCGGACTCACGTTCACGTTTGAAAGCAGCGCTGATTCCAGAAACCTCAGCACAAAGTGCGTTCGTTAATCTGAGCCAGCATGACGAACAAGGGAAGCGAGCGGCATCAGAAAGCGGGGGCGGAGCGGAGATAGTGGAATTTTGGGGTAAGGGTCTACGTAGGGGGCGGGCGTATTACGTGAATGGACCCATCTGATTGGCCGCATATCAGAGGGGGCTACATTTGATTGGTCAAATAATACTTCAGCGTAAAAAAACAGAGCTGGTTTACAAAAAGTTGATGTATGACACGGATGGAAATGTTTTAACCAAACATTTATCGCCGTTTTTTACGTGCTTTGCGATGGGCCTATCGCACGTCCTGTTATCGCGATGATGATAATTTTTTGATATATTGTGCAGCCCTAATATGTATATATATGAATGAAACAAATTCTCATCGAATTTGCATTAATCTAAAAATTCCGGAAATCCAGTAAAAACCAGAAAAATCACATCCCTGTATATATAAGCATTGCTTATTTTACACTTCAAAGGTTTAAAAAAATGTGCACATTAAAAACAACAGCGTTGTCTGTGCTGGCAATCGGTCCTGGCAGCCACCCCTACTTCCTGTTACATTCTTTCAACCAAAGGTCTGAGCAGCCAATCAGCATCGAGGTGAATATACCAGGGCTAGTCTGTCCTTAACCAAAATAGCCAAAAACACACATTTTTTGTGTGAAACAGCACATAGACAACACGGTAACTAACTTATTTGTGCATTAACACATGCTTTTCCTGAGATAGATACATGAAGTTTTGTGCATTTTTTTGCCCACTCACCTCTACGGATAGCAAGCTAAATGTTTACTTTTATCAAACATGCTATGGTGTTAGCGTGTAGCAGTGAAATCGATCCCCGCTAAACACTTTCCCACTGCCAACATTCCAGACGTTGTCTGGACTATTCACCAATTTAGCGGTATATAAACACTTCATATGATAATGCAAAAAAAAACACCGGTTTTTAGTACAAACTGGTGTACGGCACAGGTTTCCTGGCAAGCCAGACTAAATGAATAAATATAGTATTTAGTACGGCTGGGCAATAAATCGAAAATGTATCGATGTTGACATTTCTGACTCTTAGAGATCACTTTTTCCATGTCAATAAATTTGATAATAAAAAGTTTAAACTCAGTGTAATACAGTGATCCCTCGTTTATCGCGGTAGATGCGTTCCAGACCTGGCCGCGATAGGTGAAAATCCACGAAGTAGGGACACATATTTACAGTATTGTCGGGGCGACAGTGGCACAGGAGTTAAGTGCTCGCCCCGTAATCGGAAGGTTGCAGGTTCGAGTCCCATTCAGTCTGTCGCTGTGTCCTTGGGCAAGACACTTAACCCACGTTGCCTGCTGGTGGTGGTCGGAGGGACTGGTGGCGCCAGTGCTCGGCAGCCTCACCTCTGTCAGTGTGCCCCAGGGCAGCTGTGGCTACATCGTAGCTCATCCCCACCAGTGAGTGAATGTGTGTGTGAATGAGTGAATGACTGATTGTGTTGTAAAGCGCCTTGGGGGGTTCCAGGACTCTAGAAGGCGCTATATCAAATACAGGCCATTTACCATTTATTTATTTAACAGGTACGTATTCAGTATTCAGACTTTTAAAACCCTCCCTTTACATAGTACTGTATTTTTACTTGGTTGTTTATTGTTTTATAACAAAAAGTGCATTTTATGATGAAATTGATGGAAAAAAACAAGAATTTCTGATATTTCGCATAGAAAAATACCGCGAATTGGTGAAAAATACAGCGAATCGGCGAATTTCCCTTGAATAAGGCTCCAAAGAAAAAATCTGCGAAGTCGTGAATCCGCAATAAACGAACCGCGAAGTATAGTATAGTATAGCGAGGGATCACTGTATATTGACAGCCCCATCTAGTGGACAACTTTTGTTTCTGTGCATACCTGTAGTTATCGTCCATTTACTGTTATTGAGGTGAAATCCTCAATATATCGTGATATTGATTCTAGGCCATATCGCCCAGCCCTAATATTTAGTCTGGCAACGATCCATTGACGGTTCTCGGTCGGGGGCGGGTTCTACCGTTGCCTTTCAAATGATCTCCGCAAGGTACTGGACAACAAACAGAGTGATGTACTAAACACAACAGATGTCGGTAAACGAGGCAGGCTGCAGCTGAAGGCGGCAAAAACACATCCTTTTTATGTTTCTATCTGCTCCTGTTTCTAACAAAGCCCAAGTCCAATAGTCCAAAACTGATGTAAAAGCCATTTCAAACAACCTGTTGCCATATTTTTGCTGTGACTGGCACATCATTGTGGGCCAATCACAGCACTCAATCGGTTTGAAACCCATACAGAGAGTTTCGATTGGCCTGCCAGAATGCTGGGGCTGCAATGCAGGGGCTGTGGAGGTTCCAATGGAGCATTCCTAGACCAAACTTTACAAAGAAAGAATTTGGTCTGGTTCACTAGGCACAGGCCTAATTGAGGATAAATGTGTGTAAAGGAATTTTGGTGTGAAATTTTTCCAACTCACCTTCTGTAACGCTGATCTTGCGACCCTGATAATCTTTACCCAAAGTAACAGCATTGCCCTGCTTGGAAGCCACGAAGCGGACCGTCCTTTGGCTGTCTGAACACTCGATGTTGGGGTTATAGTTGGGGTTATTTTGAGCTATGGCATTTGCTGCACTGCTGGGATTGAGTGCAGCCTGGATTGGGTCCTGGCAGTATGATTTGTACTTCCATGTGACAACAGGAGGCTGAGTGGCAGTTGTCTGGTAGTTACAGTTGATGGTGACAGGCTGGAAGAGGATGACAACGAATTTCTTTGTAGGACACTGTACCGACACAGCAAAGGTGGTCTCTAGAAAATATCAGAACATAGATTGGTTAGGCCAACAGGTGACTGAAAAAAATCATGATTGCTACACAATAATAAACAAGACTTTACAAATCTGTTTCTAAACAGCTTTGTTTATCATGATCCACACCTTGACATATTGCAATAGTTCTTCACACTTAGTATCACCGAGAGCAGAGATGAGTCACTTCCTGGTAAATTCTTTAAACCTGACCACTACAGCTATGCATCTAACAATGCATAAACCAGAAAAAACACTAGACACAGTACTGTACTACATATCATAATTTAGATGTACTAGAAAGGTTTGTTTTTTATAGTTTTGAGATAACTGTGTGTGTGCAGGAATAAAAAAATGGAGATTTCATCCTCCCCAACAGATGTTTACCGAACAACAAAAACGACCTGTTGTCTTTTTAAGTTTTTTTGGCAACTTAAGTGACTCAACAGCAAGACTAAATATAATACTAGCTGGTGTAGATCCAACATTCCCATTTCAGCATTTGGCTTTCCTATAGAATAGAACAAACCTTTTTATACCAGTGTTACACTGCTCTTATTGCAACAGGAATAGATGAAGAAACAAAATAGCTCTAAATACAGAGCAAGCAAACAACGGATATGTAAAGAAAAGGTACAAAAAAGTATTTAAAAGTGTGTGTGTGTGTGTGTGTGTGTGTGTGTGTGTGTGTGTGTGAAAACAAAAAGTAAGATAATGAGTTCAATGGTGCATTAATAAGGTTTTCTTCTCAAAAACGATCACGTGTGCGAAAATAATACTAAAGAAAACGGAATAGGGTTGTTTTGTTAGTATTTAATTTTAACACCCCATCCCCACCCCCACCCACTCATTTCTTAGCTTTTATGTTTTATTCTGGGTTCTGCTGCCTGTAAAACTATTGGCATTATCAGTCTCAATTAGAAAACAAGCACAACACGTCAGTTTTACTCCGGGTAAAGATAGTTTTAACAGACACAAAGAACCTTAGTAGTCCCGGAAGGGCCCACCCTGTCTGGGGAAAAAAACAACTTACCTGTCGCCATTAAAACACAGACGATTACCATCCAAAACCTTTTTAATTCCATTTCTTCAGCTTCTTAGTCCACTAAATTCTCAACTATTTATCAAAACAAAAGGTATTTACTAAACTTTAAAAACAAAAGAAAGACATAATAACAAGCAAAGTTGTGTTTTTTTCTCAGCCAGGTAGCGTCAACTCCATTTTGTCTCGTTGTGAACTGGGAACGAAGAGGGAGTACCTGAACGCATCACGGCCACAGGTATACCCTTCTGGGCGCTTGTTGCGAAACATGGGGGGGTGTTTAAAATCTTACCTTTTTCGGCTACAGATGGCATTGTTTTACCACTGGCAGTTTGTTTGTGTGGGATTAATAAAATAATACAAGTGTTTTATTTTCTGTCTACCTCGTTATAAAGTTGAACATTTAAAATGCAAATAAATTTAGGTGTGTTTGTTTAACCCGTTAGTTGGTATGGTCCAGACGCTGATAAGAGTTTCAAAGCACTGTTTGTTAATGACTAACCTGGTGGAAATGACCCACATCCTCCTGCACTGTCCTCGTGCGTCATTTTAATCATTCTTTTCAAATATACTATTTAAATGTTCTTATTATCCCGTTTTTTAAAACAAACAGGTTCTTGATTACACTGGAAGGTTTGGTTTGCACAGGTTGGAAAAACTATAGGCCTCATTTATACTTCATATTTAATTTAATTTTTTATTTGCTACAACCGGGGCTGTTTTCAGTCCATTTGTTTGGGACAACAGCTGAAACTGGTGAGAGGTTGGCAGATGTGTCAAAATTATTCACAGCAATGTATTCAGAAGATTAGATAATAGGCTATTTCTTTGAAGCTGAGTAAGATTTTTTTCTCCAGTAAAAGTCGAAAAGCACTTCAAAAGTACTGGAAGAACAAAGGTATCACAAGTTGTTCAAGTAAACACCACAGCACAAGAAGAAGAAGAAACAATTTGTATATAGCATCTCTCAAAATAAAAATCACAAGGTGCTTCAAAAGAATAAAAGATATAGCCATTCTGGGGGGGGGGGGGGGGAGGGGGGGGGGATTATACCGGTGCACCATTTCTCTGACCTAAAAATTTCCCACATCACAAATGAGCTTCAGACAGCAGGTTTTGGAGTCTTATTTTCTGGTGTTGGGACATCTTGCCTCAGATTGGATAACAGCAATGAGACTCCACTGACTTGCAACATTGTCATTTTATCTCCACAAATACCACACGCCTGAAGGACTTCTGCTGTGTGGTGGAGTTGCTAACGCTAACGGCTAGATTCTACTAGCCGAAACCTCCTCTACTGTTTCCTGGATGCTAAAACAGCAGCATCCTTCCCTTTTTAAAATCAGAGTCCTCCATAACCTGCCCCCACTCCCACGCTCCACCACCTTGCTCCACCCCACTCCCTCATCTCCTTTTCCCCACAGAACCATTCTCAGAAATTGGGACGACACGTATTTCCCCATTGTCTCATACAAATGTACGTACTGAGCTTAATCATCTTTATTTCTGCACAACGTAACAGACCATCAACAGGAAAAGAAAAGGTGCTGATATCCAGCTGATAGTTAATATAAAGAAACATCAGTAAAGCGAAATATATATAAAACGTTTCTATGTAGGCCTTTAAGTGCATTTGCATAGTCAAACGCACGTGTGTGAATGTGTGTGTGTGCGTGTGTCTGCAAGATACCTGCAAATTGAGGACATTGGCAGCAAAGTGAGGACATTTTTCTTGTCCTCACTTTGGGACAATTTCCGAGCTCGACTGGTCAGTTTTAGAGGTGTGATGTGAATTAAGTTTCAGTTAAGGTTAGGGTTAGGCACAATCCAGTCACTAAAGTGAATGCAAGTCAATGATGATCCTCACGACGAATGCTAGACTAGATTGTGTGTGTGTGTGTGTGTGTGTGTGTGTGTGTGTGTGTGTGCGCTTGTGTATGTGCACATGGGTGTGTGTGCATATTGTGCATGTGTGTGTATGCACATGCGTGTTTGTGTGTGCGTGTGGATTTTATCTTAGCGTAGCAAAGTTGTTGTTGGAGGGAAAATCGAGTTCCCATTTTCTTTCTGACATGTTCGGGGAAAGGGCTCTGACACAAGACATGCAGTATCGACCACAGACACAGATGCGTTGTAAAAGCAAAATGTTGATTTAAAACGAGACCAGATCAGAGCACTGGACAGAGACGGGATCAGGGAGCACTGTATAAGTCCAGTGGGGTTGGGTTTGGAGCTGTGGCAGCGCCTGTGGCAGAGCAGAGTGGTTAGCCTTGGTTGGGTGAAAGGATTTTAGTGAGAATGGTTCCAGTTCCAGACTTACTGTTGACTGAGGGAGGGGGGAGACAAGGAGGGAGCACTGGTCCAAGGTGATAGAGGGTCCTGATGAGGTGGTGAAGGTGAGTGGAGGGATGATGAGAAGAGGAGACGTGGCCTATAGGTATGAGTTCCTGAATGGGTTGCGGTAGGAGTCTGGAGGTGGCAAACTGAGATCCTGAGAAAGAAATCCAGAAGATAAATCCTTAAGATGAGTTGTGATGGCAAAAATCCAACTGACAAGTTTCCTAAGACCTAGAAACAAACAAGATCAAATGGTTTAAAGGCTAGAGATACCAAAACTGAGCAATCATCCGGCGAGTATGAGTTTTCTTCACGCTGGCGAAAGCAGAATCAACTGCAGCTGTGTGCTCTCTCCAACTCCACATCTGGGAAAGCAAGCTCAGAGAGTTGTGAGGAGGTGTCATGACTTGTGGAAGGCGTTTAACCCAAGACATGCAGAATCAGCTCAGGAGTCAGGAGATAAGAAATTAAAGTTTTTTATTACACAAACGGGAACTAAAGTAGCACTGAAATCCAGTGAATTATGCCGTGGGCGATTGTTCAGAGTTCTTAGCTCAGCGAGCTGCGGGGCAAGCGGGGTGCCAAGGTGACAAGTGAAGCGATCCAGCTGGACGGGAGGTGAGGAAGCAGAGAGGAGAAATGCAGGAGCGGTGGAGGAGGATGAGACGTGTATGAAGATCCGTGGTTCTTAGCAGAGTTTGGTGAAGGCTGTGGTGGTAATCCTAGGAGGGCAGACAGACGGAGCTTCAGGAGCAAGTTCAAAATCGAAATCCAATAAATAGTCCAAGGTCAAAATCCAAATAATCCAAACATGCAAGGTCAAACTTCTACGAGCAAACAAGTACGAGTGGCAGGCGTTACCAATACTGGAGTAATCATCCGGCTTCGAGTAGTGTCTCCATCCTCCTTTTAAACCCGAGCTCCAAATGATTAACTCAGCACAGCTGGTACCTCTCCGCTCCTCACTCGTGGAACACAGAACCCCAAAGATTGTTAATTGAGGAGGAGGACTCACCTAGACCCGAGAACGATGACAGGAGGGCGACTCACCTCGGACCGGGACACTTTCCTTCTTGAAGGGGAATTCTCACAGACTTTTCCCAGAGAAGTTTGGAGTTGAAAGACAAGATGGAAGGCGTGATTAGAGATAAATGATTTAGATGAGGAGAAAAAGATGGTAAATTTAGCTTATTGTGATGATATTTAGATGTCATAGATTATTCGTTATTCAACTCCAGAAATATTGTGTTCCTTGCCTGGGCTTGGATCATGCCAAAATTAGGGGCAACTTAACACTGTGCACTATGTGCTTTGAGTATAGAGTACAGGTTTTTTTAGGTTTTATTTTGCGTAATCATCAGTCACACAGCTAGACTCGGGACCCAAGCTTTAGTCCCATAAGCTGAAGTAAATTAGATGACTAGATATGTCTTTTACAATTCAACTGTTTTGATTCAGTGCAATTATCATTTGCTTACAGACTTTTGCAAGATCAAAGAACCTATTTACCACAAACAAAAGTACATTTGTGCTGTTGATCACTTTTGTAACATTTGAAGCAAGAAAGTAATGTAATTATGTTCAGCTTTGCCTGACTTCCTGGAGCATGGAGCAGTCTGTGTACAGGAAGTCGTGGTTAGGAAACTGTGCACTCATTCTGATGTAGCGCCCAGAAATGGTCAGTTTTTCATCTACAGTTTGACCTCTTCAGTATCCGGTCATATGGAGACATGAATTGCATCTGGTGCCTTTAATCTGCTGGATTCTGCTATTCTATCAGCTGAAGTCAAGGCCTCTGCAGCTTTGCACACAGTGTTCCCGTTTCAAGGCCTTCAGCTTTCCTCCTATCGCTTCTACAGGATTCCTCCTGCCTCTGAATAAAAGTGAACATTTTCAGTTCATATGAGTTAATTAATCATGAAATGAAATGAACAATATGGTTAAATGAAATGTTTTGATTTATCTGTGCTTAAATTAATAAGGATGAAATGAAATATATGACCCATATATTTAATCAGTGTACGTGACTGGACATCAAGAAATGCCTGCCTTTAAACATTGAAACTTGAGTGAATTAGGAATTCACCTGAAATAAAAATACAGAAATAAACGCGGAGTTCTGGTCAGTTTCTACAGCATCTGGCTGATTGTTCTGAATAACCATATGAGCCATGTTGCTTTCCATCTGCCCATGAGCTCCTACTCCAACCAGCATCATTCCCAGCTGAAGAGCCAGGACTTTGTGTTAAAACGCTGCACTAGTGAGAACTGAATGCAGAAACTTTCCCTCAGAGGAGGTTTGGGTGAAAGATGCTGTTAAAAAGATAAACTCTAAACGGATCCATGCTCAGTTTAAAGGAATCTAGACAGTATTTCCATTTCACTTTTATTTGAATTTGCTTATACACTTTTTTTTATCTCTTTTTTCATTCAAAATTTCTAAAATAAACACAAGCAAATACAGCACATAAACATGATGAATAAAAAACATTGGAATGAAAAGGAGCAGAAAGAAGGAAAAATCTTATCATTTCCGCCCCTTTTTCCGTAAAACATACACAATACAACCTCAGTCCCTTTCTACTTTTTATATGTAATCATTTTAATTTACCCTTTCACAATAACGTAATGCATTTGATTTTATACATTTTTAAATACAGCAAGTGAGTTTGATTCTTTAATTTCTCTGTTAAGTGCATTCCACAAACTTACACCATTTACAGAAATATTACATTCCTTCATTTTGGTTCTTCAGTTTGGCTCTTTTATGGAAAATGAACAAAGGTTGAGTAAAAGTTTTGCATGTAGCTCCGCAAATTTCCAAACAATAAATTAAATACGGTTCAATCAGTGAGTGATACAACATTAATAACCCAGACCAATGTAGT